AATTAGAGATGAGGCTCAGCGCCTGTAGTGCAGTAGTTATGGCACCAACCACATACACCAAGGCTGGCAGGTTTGAACCCAGCCCAGCTAACCAGCAATGACAACTGCAACCAAAAAATAGCTGGGTATTGTGGCAGGCAACTGTAGTCCCAGCTACTTGAGAGACTGAGGCAAGAGAATCACTTAAACCCAAAAGTTTGAGGTTGCTGTGAGCTGTGACATCACAGCACTCTACTGAGGGCAACAGAGTGAGACTCTGTCTCAGAAAAAAAAAAAAAGAATTAGAGTTGAATAAATTGAGATCCACAGAGGTCATGGTCACTAAGCTCACAACAGACAAAGCCACTAAGCCTAGGTCTCCTGATTTTTTTTAGTGTCACTAAGCTCACAACAGACAAAGCCACTAAGCCTAGGTCTCCTGATTTTTACTTTTTCCCAAGTAGCTGGGACCACAGGCACCCGCCACAATGCCTGGCTATTTTTTGGTTGCAGCCATCATTGTTGTTTGGTAGGCCCGGGTTGGATTCAAACCCGCCACCTTAGGTATATGTGGCTGGCGCCTTAGCCACTTGAGCCACAGATGCTGAGCCTTTTTTTTTTTCTTTTGAGGCAGAACATCAAGCTGTCACCCTGGGTAGAGTACCGTGGTGTCATAGCTCACAACAACCTCCAATTCTTGGGCTTAGGTGATCCTATTACCTCAGTTTTTTCTCTTTTACTAGAGACGGGGTGTTGCTTTTGCTCAGGCTGGTCTCAAACTTGTGAGCTCAAGCAATCCACCTGCCTCAGCCTCCCAGAGTGCTAGGATTACACATGTGAGCCACCTAGCCCAGCCAGGTCTCCTGATTTTCTTTTTTCCTTTTTTTTTGTGAGACAGAGCCTCAGGATAGAGTGCTGTGGCATCACAGCTCACAGCAACCTCCAACTCCTGGGCTTATGTGATTCTTCTGCCTCCGCCTCCCAAGTACCTGGGACTATAAGCGCCTGCCACAATGCCTGTCTATTTTTTGGTTGCAGCTGTCATTGTTTGGTGGGCCTGGGCTGGATTTGAACCCTCCAGCTCAGGTGTACGTGGCTGGCGCCCTAGCCACTTGAACCACAGGCACCGAGCCACGGTCTCCTGATTTTCAAAGCTCATTTTCATACACATGTGCCATCTTATATTTTGCAAGACTAGAGTCTTGAAGCACGATGCTTAGTGAGTGCATGGTACTCAGGTCTAACAGGTGTTTTGGGTTCTTTTCTGGAAATTAGAGAGGCTTTTGTTTTGGCCATATTTTCTTTGAGACAGGGTCTTGCTCTGTGGCCCAGGCTAGAGTGCAATAGTGCCATCACATCTCACTGCACCCTCAAACCCCTGGGGTCAAGCGATCCTGCCTTTGATCCTGGGCAACTGAGATTACAGATGTTTGCTAGCCACTGAGCCTGTCCTGGGCCCTATGTTTTGATTCCTAACTACTTCATATTCACTAATGAGTCAGTGGCTTCTGGACTGAAGCTATTTCCCTCTCCAAACAGCCATCTCTAATTTGGCTTCTGGGGCCAGACCACGCCCAGCAGAAGTGGTCAGTGGCGGTGCCAGGACTACTGTTGCCTGCGGCCATTGCCCCAGAGTCCTTTTCAGCTACTAGTACAGGGAGTTGCTAAATTCGACCTTCTATTTTTTTTTTGAGACAGAGCCTCACTTTCTAGCCCTTAGTAGAGTACCATGGGTGGTGTCATAGCTCACAGCAACCTCAAACTCTTGGGCTGAAGTGATCCTCTTGCCTCAGCCTCCCAGTTTTTTTCTGGAGACAGAGCCTCAAGCTGTCACCCTGGGTAGAGTCCCATGGCATCACAGCTCATAACAACCTCCAATTCCTAGGTTCAAACGATTCTCCTGCCTCTGCCGTCCAAGTAGGTGGGACTCCAGGTGCCTGCCATAACACCTGGCTATTTTTTGGTTGCAGCTGTCGTTGTTTGGTGGGCCCAGGCTGGATTCAAACTCGCCAGCTCAGGTAAATATGGCTGGCACCTTAGCCTCTTGAGCCACAGGCGCCCACCACAATGCCCAGCTAGTTTTATAGACTGGGTCTTGCTCTTGCTCATGCTGGTCTCATACGTCTGAGCTCAAGCAATCTATATGTCTCAGCCTCCCAGAGTGCTTGGATTACAGGTGTGAGCCACCATGCCCAGCCTAAATTCAACCTTCTTAAGGCTCTTTGATCAGAGCTCTCATTTCTGGTGAGGAAAGAAAGGGCCAAGTGTCATTGCTAATTGTCAGTGTCTTCTCCACTGGAAAAACCCTGGGGCTAAGTCCGAGGCTCTGGATTATTAACTATGCCATATCCCCAAAGGCTGCCCAGCCTGTCAGGCAAGGGGACAGGTACTTCCTTCCTGTTTGGGCCTCTGCCTGTATGTTTCCTGTGTTGTTCCAGGGATCTGAGACAGGTGGATTGCTGTCCACCTCTGGATGGTATTAAAGGTTTGTGGCATTAGGAAGGTTGAGAACTACTGCTGTAGGCTGAAGCCTGGAAAAGGCAGTGTTTGATTACTCATTCATTAATCTTTTTTTTTTTTTTTGAGACAGAGCTTCAAGCTGTCACCCTGGGTAGAGTGCTGTGGCATCACAGCTCACAGCAACCTCCAACTCCTGGGCTCAAGTAATTCTCCTGCCTCTGCCTCCCAAGTAGCTGGGATTACAGGCACCCGCCACAATGCCCGGCTATTAGTCATCATTGTTGTTTGGGAGGGCCAGGCTGGATTCGAACCTGCCAGCTCAGGTGTATGTGGCTGGCGCCTTAGCCACTAGAGCCACAGGTGCTGAGGCAAGAACTTTTTAATCTTTAAATGTCACAGGGAATAGTTCTTTTTCTTCTTTATTTTTTAATTTTTTTTCCTTTTTGGAATAGTTCTTATGTTTGATGTGACCTCTGGCCTAGAGGCCATGACACTTGGAGAAGGATGACAGTTTTGTGTGTCAGCCTGGAGTGACCTGTGGTCTGTTTGCTCTCGGGTCTCTGAGCTGGGAGAGCCCACCAGCCCTGGTTCCTCCTGCTTCTCCATTTGTCTGCTCATTAGTTCATTTGTTCAGCCAACAAATGCCAATAGTGCCAACTCTGTGCCAGGCCCGTGGGACATGGGGGACACAGTGCTGACCAGAGACAGGCCCTTCCTGCTTTCAGGGTACTTGGACCAGTGAGGAAGACAGGCACCTACAGATAATCACATTAACAACTGTGGTAAGTCCTGTTAAACAGGCTTCAAAAAAAGTTACATACTGATTTTAGTGCCTATAATAGGTGGCCTTACCTCAACCCCAGAGGGTCAGGGAAGATTTACCTGAGGAAGTCAGGTTTCGTCTGAGGATTAGGAGGCACTGACTAGGCTAAGGAGTGTAGTGTGGTGTGAGGGAGAGGATCTCAGCCAAAGGTAGCAGCACAAGCAAAGACTCTGCAGCAGGAAAGAACATACCATATTCAAGAACTCAAACACATCTGAACCCAGGGGAGGGACAGCTGGAGAGACAGGCAGTTCTGGACCATGCAGGGATTTGCAGGCTTTGCCAAGGAAGCTTGCTCTTGGTCTAGGTAGAAAATGAACTCTTACAAGTTAGCAGATTTGAAAAGGAATTTTTACTTCATTTGGTTGTTTTGTGTCTTTTTCTGCCAAGGAATTGTGAAGTTGCTGACTGAGCCTGAGAGCCCATTGGAGGACCGTTGGTCCTCTCATCTGAGGCAGTGGAGACTCTGTGCTTGTGCTGTTAGAGTCCTGATGTTGGCAGGGGAGGGGTAGCCAGACTTCGTCTCAGATCAGCCTCCCCATCTTGCTAGTCAGATCCAGTATTTCAGTAGATACATTCCTGGAGGGAAAAGAAGACACCAGGCTTGGACCCCAAGCCAGAGGGGAGCCCACCTCCAGTATAGGGGAGCAGGTCAGCTTATCTCCCCTGCTACTATCTCATGCCTCCCAGGAAGTCAGATTAATCCTTCTCACATGGGTTGTTTTCTGTTGGGTGGAATAAACCAAACAAAACAGCAAATAGCATGAGGAGCAGTACTGTAGTGATGAATACGCCGATCACTGCAAGGCCCCCCTTCTCCCAGGGGTTCTCCCAGAACTCATCATTCCAGGTTATCTTCACTTGGTCCCCATGAACCTGGAAAAGAGAGACGGGTCCTGAGTCTGATCAGGGTGCTCTCCAGGCATTATGCTCAACTTCTCAACTTCAGCCTCTGTAGCAGTTTGGCATCTGGCCTCCCCTGAGCCAGTTGACAGCGGGATGGTGAGTCTTTGGGCTCAGTGCCTCCAGCACCTCCAGCAAGCAACAAACGGAATTTCCTCCTCTATAGAAATAGAAGCAGGGGCTAAGCGCCTATCGCTCAACAGGCTAAGGCGCCAGCCACGTACACCTAAGGTGGCGGGTTCGAATCCCCAGCCCAGACCCGCCAAACAACAATGACGGCTGCAACCAAAAAATAGCCAGGCGTTGTGGTGGGCGCCTGTGGTCCCAGCTACTTGGGAGGCGGAGGCAGGAGACTCGCTTGAGCCCAGGAGTTGGAGGTTGCTGTGAGCTGTAATGCCACGGCACTCTACCCAGGGGGAAAGCTTGAGGCTCTGTCTCAAAAAAAAAAAAAAAAGAAAGAAATAGAAGCAGGAGGGCGGCACCTATGGCTCAGTGGCTAGGGCGCTAGCCCCAAATACCGAGGGTGGTGGGTTCAAACCCGGCCCCAGCCAAATTGCAACAAAAAAATAGCCAGCATTGTGGAGGGCGCCTGTAGTCCCAGCTACTCGGGAGGCTGAGGCAGGAGAATCGCCTAAGCCCAAGAGTTGGAGGTTGCTGTGAGCTGTGTGATGCCATAGCACTCTACCAAGGGTGACAAAGTGAGACTCTGTCTCTACAAAAAAAATAAATAAATAAAAAGGAAGAAGAAAGAAGCAGGAACTGGCACAAAGGAAGGGCCCTGGATTCTCTAATTGTTTTTTTCCAGAATAACCCCAGCATGAGCAGGGACTTTCTCTCTTATTCCTGAGACTTACTCAGCTAGAATCTGAAAAGTGGCACTATAGATCCAATTTTTCCTGCCCCAATCGTCAAATACCTGGGAAGCATTTTGAGAGATCAGCGTAGGAGCCAGGGAGTGAACTGACATTGGCTGTGACCTTGGTAAACTTCCCCGGAGGCAGCTGAAAACAGAAAGACTAATTCATCTCCTTGAAATGGAGTTAATAGGCCGGGTGTGATGGCTCACACCTGTAATCCTAGCACACTGTGAGGCTAAGACAGGTTTATTGCTTGAACTCAGGAGTTTGGGATCAGCCTGTGCAAGAGAGTGAGACCCGCATCTGTACTAAAAAAATGAAAAACTTAGGCAAGAGAATCACTTGAGCCTAAGAGTTTGAGGTTGTTGTGAGCTATGATGCCATGGCACTCGGCCAAGGGCAACAAAATGAGATTGTCTTTTTAAAAAAAAAAAATAAGGCTTGGCACCCGAAGAACAGTGGTTATGACGCCAGCCAAATGCACTGAGACTGGCGGGTTTGAACCCATCTTGGTCCAGGTAACCAACAACTGCAACAAAAAAATAGCCAGGTGTTGTGGACACCGGTAGTCCCAGCTACTTGGGATGCTGAGGCAAGAGAATTACTTCAGCCCAAGAGTTTGAGGTTACTGTGAGCTGTGACACCATAACACTCTACTGAGGGTGACATTGTGAAACTCTGTCTCAAAAAAAAGAGGCTCGGTGCCTGTGGCTCAAGCAGCTAAGGCGCCAGCCACACATACCTGAGCTGGCAGGTTCGCTCCAGCCTGGGCCTGCAAAACAACAATGATGGCTGCAACCCAAAAATAGCTGGGCCTTGTGGCAGGCGCCTGTAATCCCAGCTACTTGGGAGGTGGACGTAGGAGAATCGCTTGAGCCCAGGACTTGGAGGTTGCTATGGACGACAGCGTGAGGCTCTGTCTCAAAAAAAAGAAAAGAAAGAAAAGAAAAGAAATGGTGCTAATATTAACAGGCTGGGGGCCAGAGCTGGTGAAGGAAGTACAGGTGAAGAGGGAGGGAAGCATTACCTGACTATGTTGTTAATAGTCCTGTGTCCCACAAGGGCACGTCAGGGTAGTCCTTCAGTGCTTTAGGTGGGGTTAGAACTGAAGAGACCGCCAGGTGACCAGGGCTGTATAGATTCAAAGAAGCAGCTGTTGATAGGAAAGGGTCTGGGCATTGCCAGGTGGCCCTGACTAGACCGTTGCTGTCACCAAATAAACAAAGGTGAGCAAGGGACAGTTGCCTGGCAACCACTCTTCCCATCTGCCTTTCACACCTCCCATCTCAGATACATTCTACCCTTTTGTGATGTCGTTTTGGAGGGGGTGCTCAGGACACATGGGTTAATGAGTCCTTCTTGACAGAGCCAGAATGGGGTGGAGTGGGTGGGAGAAGAGACTGGATCCAGGGCCTTTGGCCTAACCCACCTGTCCCCCTCACCTGTGGCTGGGCCTTGGCTCTCCTCTGTCTAGACGACCTGTCGATGGGGAGGACCTGCCCGGAGCTTGGGTAGTGCTGAGGCTGGGAGTGCCACATAGGCATTGCTCCCTGTGGTGCAGGGTGAATGATTAACTGCAGCCCCAGTTGGCATCTCCTGGCACTAGTTTCTGGAATTGTTTATCACCACTGAGACCTAGCTTCTCCCTTGGTGCCTTTGTCTGCCTCTTAGGCATGGCCTCAGCTGCTTTGTGTGGTTGGTTCCTACCCACTGGTGCTATAGGGAAACTATAAAGGGAATAAAGGCTTGCACTGGTGCTTAGAACCCAGTGGCCACCATTTGCTCCTTTAACAGCTAGGACTTGAGGGCCTGCTGTGGTCAGAAATAGCACCAGGCCCTTATGAGACCTAAGAGGTGAACCCCACCCTCAAAGAACTTCCCTTCTGGCCCACAGGTCCTCAAGCCTGCTTGTTAGAATCAGGGAGCTTTTGGAAATGCCCACACCCGACCTCATACCACATATATAGTCTCAGGGGTGCTAGAGCATCTGTGTTATTTTAAACCTTCCCAGGTAATTCTCCCTAGGGCTTGATGTCAGATGGTGAGCAAGCTCTGTAAAGTCCTTCTTAACTGTCATGGGCTTAATTGACCCTGGCTTACCTTGACGCTGCTTGTATGAGACTTACTGACTAATTCCTTGGCATGTTGAATGCTCACAGCCAGTAGGCTGTTCCCTGGCCCTTGTCCTGCTGCTCCATTAGCTAAGTCAGATGCTTATCAAGAGTTAGTTTGGGGCAGCGCCTGTGGCTCAGTGGGTAAGGTGCTGGCCCCGTATACTGAGGGTGGTGAGTTCAAACCTGGCCCCGGCCAAACTGCAACAAAAAAATAGCCAGGAGTTGTGGCAGGCGCCTGTAGTCCCAGCTACTCGGGAGGCTGAGGCAAGAGAATCGCCTAAGCCCAGGAGTTGGAGGTTGCTGTGATCTAAGTGATGTCACGGCTCTCTACTGAGGGTGATAAAGTGAGACTCTGTCTCTACCAAAAAAAAAAAGTTAGTTTGTTTCCAAACATACTTTTTTTTTTTTTTTTTTTGAGACAGAGCCTCAAACTGTCCCCCTGGGTAGAGTGCCATGGCATCAAAGCTCATAGCAACCTCCAACTCCTGGGCTCAAGTGAGTCTGCCTCCGCCTCCCAAGTAGCTGGGACCACAGGTACCTGCCACAATGCCCAGCTGTTTTTTTGGTTGCAGCCATCATTGTTGTTTGGCGGGCCCAGGCTGGATTCAAACCTGCCACCTTAGATATATGTGGCTGGCGCCTTAGCCACTTGAGCCACAGGCGCTGAACCCAAACATACTTTTGATAGTTGTTATTATAATGATGTACTTGAATTTAATATCACATCAACAAATGAAGCAGCAATAATAGATGAAAACCCCATTTTGCAGATGGGAAGCAGGCACAGGTTAAATAACTTACCCATAGTCACTCGGGTAGTAACTGATTCAAAGTTCAAATCCAGCGGTACACAGAGGGTGGGTGCTGAAGCTCTATCCTGTACCTCAGAGTAAGTGAAGAAAGTTTTTTTTGTTTGTTTGTTTGTTTTTTGAGACAGAGTCTTACTCAGTCTGTCGCCCTGGGTAATAGCTGTCATAGCTCCCAGCAACCTCAAACTCTAGGGCTCAAGTGATCCTCTTACCTCAGCCTCCCAAGTAGCTGGGAATACAGGCACTCACCACAATGCCAGGCTTTTTTTTGGGGGGGGGGCCTGGCTATTATTATTATTATTATTTTTGAGACAGGGTCTCACTATGTCACTCTCAGTAGAGTGCCATGGTGTCACAGCTCACAGCAACCTCAAAGTCTTGGGCTTAAGCGATTCTCTTGCTTCAGTCTCCCAAGTACCTGGGACTATAGGTGCCCGCCACAAAGCCCAGCTATTTTTTTGTTATAGTTGTCGTTGTTTACCAGGCCCAGGCCAGGTTTGCACCTGCTAGCCCCAGTGTATGTGGCCAGCTCCCTAACCACTGAGCTATGGGCACCGAGTCTCACCTGGCTATTTTTTTATTCACTCACCCATGGAGGACCCCAATGGAGTTTTGAATACTCTTATTGTTTCTTACTAATAGTAACTATTTTGCTCCTCTTTTTTTTTTCTTTTTTTGCCGGCTCACCTGGCTATTTTTTACAGACAGGTTTTACTCTTGCTCAGGCTGGTCTTGAACTCCTGAAGTCAGGCAATCCACCCGCATTGGTCTCCCAGAGTGCAAAGATTACAGATGTGAGTCACCACACCTGGCCAGAATGTTGTATAAATACCTGTTTGACTACTTTGGGATGACTTTGGAATCACTCAATTAATATTCCTGTTGAAAAATATGCAGACACAGTAACTAAACATTGGGGACATTTTGTAAAAATCCAGAATGATTTCACACTCAGATTCTTTTGCCTTTTAAGTTCTCCGGCACATGTGTTTAAAGTTCTACTGAAGACCGTCTAGGATCTTTGGTCAGCAAGCCATACTCAGAAAGATCCTGACCTCACTCCAGAAAGACTAGTGGAGGAATGTACCACATATGTGTTTCAATTTAAAGTGAGATGTTGCCAGATGGGTGGCTCACACCTCTAATCCCAGTACCTTGGGAGGCCAAGGTCAGAGGACTGCTTAAGGCCAGGAGTTCAAGACAAGCCTCACAAGACCCCTTCTCTATAAAAAATTTTAAAATTTGCCAAGTGTGGTGGTGTGCATGCCTCTATAATCCCAGTGACTGGAGAGGCTGAAGTGGGAGGATCACTTGAGCCCAGGGGTTTAAGACTGTAGTGAGCTGTAATTGTGCTACTGCAGTCCAGCCTGGGTGACAGAATAGGACCCTGTTTAAAAAATAAATAAGAATAAAGTAAAATGAGATGTGAAAAAAAATTTTTGAAAGAAGTATATAGAGAATTTAGGTGTCATGTATATAAAAGTTGCTTTAGGCTGGGCATGGTGACTAATGCCTGTAATCCTGGCATTCTGGGAGGCTAAGGCAGGTGGATTGCTTCAGCTCAGGAGTTTGAGACCAGCCTGAGCAAGAGCGAGACCCTGTCTCTACTAAAAATAGAAAAACTGGGGTAAGAGGATCTCTTAAGCCCAAGAGAGTTTGAGGTTTCTGTGAGCTATGATGATGCCATGGCACTTTACCCAGGGAAACAGAATGAGACTCTGTCTCAAATATAAATAAATAAGGGCCAGGCTCAGTTGCTTATGCCTGTAATCCTAGCACTCTGGGAGGCTGAGGCGGTAAATTGCCTGAGCTCATGAGTTTGAGGCCAGCCTGAGCCAGAGCGAGGCCCCATCTCTGAAAATAGCTGGGCATTGTGGCAGGCACCTATAGTCTAAGAGTTTGAGGTGTGATGCCATGGCACTTTACTGAGGGCAACAAAGTGAGACTCTGTCTCAAAAAAAATCAATCACAAGTTGCTTTAACTGGCTTTTTCAATTAATTACTGGCCACAGTCAGATAATTCTATCATAGTGATCTCCATCTAGAGAGAGTGATGTGGCAGAAGGTGAAAGGTGCTACTGATATAGGTGGTATAACCTGGTCTGGGGGCTGAGGAGCTTCCTCTGAGGAAATGATTTTCAAGCTGAGACAGAGACTATATATGAGTCAGAATTAGAGGCTGGCGCCTGTGGCTCAAAAGAGTAAGGCACAGGCCCCATATGCTGGAGGTGGCGGGTTCAAACCCCAGCCAAAAACTGCAAAAAAAAAAAAGAGTCAGAATTAGGAAATATTATTCTGTGGTGGGAACAGAACCCAAGGATAGTGAAGAAACTTTCTTTTAAAAAGACATAATTAATTTATCCTCAGTTTTTTGTGACCTGGACTTTGTATTACTCAGAAGCAAATATGTTGTTATTAAGATTTTTATTATATTGGCGGCGCCTGTGGCTCAAGCGGCTAAGGCGCCAGCCACATACACCTAAGGTAGCGGGTTCGAATCCCCAGCCCGAGCCCGCCAAACAACAATGATGGCTACAACCAAAAAGTGGCCAGGCTTTGTGGCGGGCGCCTGTAGTCCCAGCTACTTGGGAGGCTGAGGCAGGAGACTTGCTTGAGCCCAGGAGTTGGAGGTTGCTGTGAGCGTGATGCCATGGCACTCTACCCAGGGGGATAGCTTGAGGCTCCGTCTCAAAAAAAAAAAAAAAAAAGATTTTTATTATAGATTGCTTTACAGTATTAATAATGTTTGAGAAAACAGATTTTGGAGAAAATGGTATTGTATGCTCCCTGAAAGTTTTGCTAATGAGATTTTTTTGTATCTGTGGCTTTATTGTCGTTTTTAAAAAGGTATAATAGACAGACAGTAAAACCCAGGCCTTCAATATAGAGTGAAGCCCTTTTGAGGAACTGAGAACAAATGCCCTTGTGGCCTTAGTTGAGGAGGAGGCACAAAGAGGCTGGTGGGATGATTGTGGAGATTGACTGGTGTGGGTGATTATGGTAGGATGCTGCCTCAGTACCCCAGGATGGCATAGTGGCAGGAACAGAGAAGTGGTGGCCAGAATCAGATGTTCTCTAGGCCTAAAACAGCCCAGTGACCACCCCTTCCACGGCCCCCACCTATCTTCCCGCAGCCCAGGTTTGTGGCCTCTTTCTCCTTGTTTCCTTCCGTGGAGGAATCACTGCCTCTTCTCTATGCCTGTCTTCCCAGAGAAGGCTGCACGGGGTGGGCGAGGGCAGGGTGAGGGGGGCGTGCTGCCTGTTCCAGGACTGGGATTGAGGCCTGTGCGGGATTCAGCCTGACAGCAGGGCCTGGTGTACACCAGTCTGCCCTAGTTGGGGAGGAGTAAGACCCCTGAGGGCAGGGACCTGGTCCTGCCTGGCATGGAACAGGAAGGTGCAAGTGAGCCAGCCATATGCCTACATGTCTGTGCATGCCCAGGGCTGTCCATGGTCCCTGCCTGTCAGCAGCTGGACTGGGGAATCAATCCTTTCTAGCATAGTCTCAGCCTCCCCCACCTCAAGGAGGGCCATTCTTGATGCCTAAGGAACAGTCCCACAGGAACTGGGCTGCCTCACTGTTGACCTTCTCTTGAACAGAGGGCTTCCGGGAATCCCCTAGCCATTGGTGCTCAGAGTGAAAAAATGGAAGGCTTCCCGTCCCTCCACCTTTCCTATGTTTTTCTTCCTGTATGCCTTGTTGGGCCCCACCGTGGCTCTTACCTGTTGAGTCCCACCCCCTCCCAGGAGGTTATTTTGAGACAGAGTCAGGGCGTTTGTGTTTGGATGTAGGGCTGGTTGATCAGCCTTATCTATCTCACACCTGGAGCCCAAGTTCCAGGTTGGGTGTGGTGAGCCAGGGCTGTGGAGCCAGACAGGCTGGATGCAGAGGCTGGCTGTGCCACTCTTGAGCTGGTTAAACTTAGACAAATCACCTAGCATCCCAAAGGTTCAATTTCCTCACCTCTAAAATGGGTTTAATGTATCTACAGCATGGGGGTATTGTGCTGATTAAATGGATTTAATCTCCATTAAAGTGCTTAAGATAGTGCCTGAGCATGTGTAAGCTCTCAGTAAATTTTGACCATCTTCTTTTTCTTCATCGTCCTCATCATCATTGTTGCTGTTCTGAATCCTGTTCTTTGGAGGGAGCTAAGAACAAGCAGTTTCTTAAATTTCTTTTCTCTTTTTTCGTATGGAACACTTCTTCTCTGGGTCTTCAACCCAAACCTGTTAGACAAGTCCATGGACACCAGGAAGTGAAACCAGCCAGTGAGAGCTTGTCCTGCCCCTCCTGCCCCTGCCAGGGTGGCCTAGACTGGCAGCTGGGTATGGCAGGGGCTGGCATGCCCACTCTATGACCTGTTTTCTGTGTAGACAGGGTTCTGCTCCCAGGGAGTCAGAGCATGGACCCCACAGCCCAAGGTGATGGATGCATGTGAGAAATACAGACTTCTTTATGGAGCCTCCTGTCCTCGTTCCTGGGTTTGTAGCTCTAGCTGGAAAGTTCTCTGGAAGAGAAGATAAACTGAAGGGAGGCAGGATAGAAGGGTGTTGCATCTCAGTAGGACCATTCTTTAAAATGGGCCCATGGTGCTCTGAGTTGGGCACTTGTTTAGAGGACAAAAAATGACAGTTCCCGTTTACAGAGCTGCTAGGAATGCCCAGCACTACGCTAAGTGCTAGACTAGGTCTAAGATGTTCATCTTCACAGTGTACCCCAAGTAGCAGTACCAGGATTAGCTCCATTTCACTGGGGAGGAGACGTGGCTTGGGGAAGTTGAGTCACACTTCTAAGTGACAGGGTGAGGTTTGGGCCCAGACAGCACATGATAGGGGAAGGGCCTAGGGATTAGGGTGCAGGTTGTGGTTGATACTAGGGGCCTGACCTGCCCTTACTGCAGAAGTTTGGGAAGACCTACTGGCCTGAGCCTGCTAGTGTGGGATGTGCAGCCAGAGTTGCTGGTAGTGGAAAATGTCAAGTGACATTCTTGAACCTCTTGCTTGCCTTGGGACACACAAGCTTGTCACTCCACAGAGTGGGTGCCTCGCAGTCATGGCTTATTAGCAATTAATAGTTGGCAAGAATTTCATTGCACCCAATCCCAGTTCTATGGCGTTACTGCCTATGTGGTTTTCCAGTTTATGTGAGCACAGGGAGAGCAGAGGCCTAGAAGAGGCAGGCACTGGCCATGGCCCTGGAGTTCTGGCCCACCACCTCCCAGAGCACAGAGCTCAGCCCAGCCTTAGCGAGTCTGGTGCCACAGAGACACATAAGCAAAGAGCTTTTACTTGCAAATAAACAAGCAAATACCAGACTAGAATACTGACAGGTCCGCTCTGGTGGGAGGTTGGGATGCAGTAGCCATTTCACAGTGTCCCTCTAATGGATGTGCTATGCCTCAGTGCGGCCAGCTCGCCACAGGTGCAGGCTGTTCTCTATCAAGGTATGGGGATCCTTGCTTCCTTGTTTTGTTTAAAAAAAAAAAAAAAAAAAGTGCAGGTTGACAGAGAATCCCAGGTGGTTTACTCAGTCTTTGGTCTATCAGTGATCCTTGATGTCCAATGTCCACTGGTAGTTAGGTCTGTGCCTGTACCAGCCCTCATTTCCTTGATAAGGCTCCAGGTGCCTATGCAGGGCCAGGGCTGGGTCAGGGGATCCTTGTCTTGAGGGATGAGGGCTGAAGGGCCAGGTGGACCACCTGTGTCATGGCTTTGGCAGGCTCCTTTCCAACTTCTCCTTGGCCATCACCCCAGCCCTCACGCTGTGGTCTCGGGCTGCACTTGGACTTTCCTGCGTTCAGTGCAGCAGCAGTGAGGGCAGCAGGAGTAGCAGATTACCAACAGCAGCATCAGCAGCACCGTGGCTGCAGGGAGGGAGAGAGAGAAAGAGAAAGAGAGAGATAAAGGAGGTTCCCTGGAGGGGCGATAGGGCTCTTCCCCAGTGTCGGGGCTAGTAGTCAGGAGGACCAAGAAGCTGGAAAGAGGTGTTGGCAGTCCCCATACTAGCCACCAGGGCCAACCTCTTTCCTGTTGTGTCTCCTTGTCAGCTGCCCAAGCCTGGCTCCCTCTGTCCCCAGGTTGGGATCTGGGAGGCCACTGGGCCCAGTTCTCAGCACTGTTGTTACCAGAACAGTATGTCAGAGGGTGTGGGGAAATCCCTTGGCTTCCCCCAAGGGACAACTGCTTTTATTCCTTGAGCTGGGGACACCTGCCACCTCTGCCTGCCCTCTGGCTAGCACGATGGTGTCATCTCTCCCAGATACCATGAAGAACCATGGGCACTGAGGAGAATCTGAGTGCTCCAACTGACCTGTGAAAAGGAGGATAACTGAGAAGGCCGCGATCTCCACAGGGTCGGCCTGTAGTAGCCTGTGCAGCTTGAGGAGCAGCTTCTCACCCACGGAGCTCATCTCCTGCACAAAGCTGGTGGCTGCCATGCTGTGCCGGCTTCCTGCTGGGGCAGAGACAGCACCTGGAGCCTCCTTCCCAGTATGTAGCACTGGAGATTCCACCTGCTCATCCACCTGTGGCCACAGAACAAGTTTGGCAGGTCTTATGCTTCATCGGCCCTGGTGGCTTCTGCTCAGTCCCCATCAGCTCCTGCTGCCCAGGGTGAGGAGAGCTAATGATGAGAGCAAGAATAAGAATCTGCTTTGGGGGTGTGGGGGATGTTTGGCAAGAGCCAAGCACCCTCACAGGGGTCTGCCAGCTAAGGTTGAGGTTGGTGATGGTTTCTGACCACAAAGTGGAGTGACTTTGCTTTCACATTCCTCTGTCTCAGACACTACTCCCAGGCTTGCCAGGATCCTTTGGGCTGGCATAGCTCCCCTGGGTTATTTAGGACTCGGGTGTTTTCTCCAATGCCCTCAGAGTGGAAAGACGGGGTTCAGGATTCCAGCCTGGTGTCTTTCATCATGTGTGGGGGCCGGGGAATCAGATTCTCACAACAGCAGTTCCATGAGGGTTTCTGGCCGGTGTCACCTGTAGGTAAAAACTGTCGCCTAGGGCTGTGGCCTCCCCCAGGATCAGTCCCAGGTTTGTTAGGAGCCAAGCTGGAGAGTTCTGCCTTCCCCTATCCCCACCCCGCCTCTGAAAAAATTGTCTTCCGTGGAAAAACTGTCTTCCATGAAACTTAGGGAACCAGGCTGTATGGCAGGAGGTGAGCGAAGCAGCTTGGTCTGTATTCACAGCCACCAGCCACTCCCCATTGGTTGATTGCTGCCTGAGCTCTCCCTATACCCCCATCCCCATCCATGGAAAAACTCTCTTCTGTGAAACCAGTTCCTGGTACCAAAAAGTTTGGGGACTGCTGCCCTAGCACACCCCATCTTTCCCACCATCCCAGTTTCTTTATTTATTTTGTGACCCTCTAGTTTTTGCCAGGGGGCCATTTGTCAGGATGGGATCAGGAGTCCCAGAGCCATTTTAACTAGCTCTCCCCTGCTGTGGCTCCCTCCCTCCTCCTCCTCTGGCCTGGCCTGGAGAGTCCTGTCTGCTCTCACCGCTGAGCCTCCGCCTCCCACCCCCCACCCCCATCTAGGGTACCTGAGAGGCCTATGGCACTGCTCTAGCAGACTCTGTGAGTGGGGGCTTTATTGCGCATCAGAGCTTCTTTCTCGTCCCCTCTCTGGTGGGCATGAGGGAGTCAGTGCCTCTTTAGAGAGAGCCAGGGACAGCCTTATGTCAACCTACCCTGAACTATTTCACCAAGGCAGTGAAATAGTCTGCTCTAATCTGAGGTGGCAGTGGAGTGGGGGGACAGGTGGCCAGCAGCTTGTGCTAGGCCGTTGTAATTACTGATGCCTCATTCCTGGTCTCAACTGGTTCTCCCCGAGGTGGCTGTGGTCAGTGAGGCTGCTCATTTCAGGTGCTGCTGGCTTGGCACAGCTGATTTAGGACCATCGTGAAAGTCATCTACCTTGCACTTGGCTCATTGCCCTCCTGTGGCATTCAGCCTTTGCTTGCCCCACCTGCTAAGGCAGCCCACCCCACTGCAGAAGATCAGACCCCTGATCCCACCCCATTACAGAAGACTGGACCCCTGGTGACCTCCAGTTAGACCCACTGGTGGTCACTGAGGACCTCACCACCCTTCTTCTGCCTCTCAGTCCTTCAGGAACTGGATGGTGGCTGGCATGAATTTCCTTTTCTACAAGGTAACTTCTCTAGTTTTCTAGAGCATTGTTCTGATCCTCCTGGACCTGAATGCTGCTTCCTGCTTCCTTTTTTGAGCTGTGGGCAAGTTGCTTCCTCTCTCTGGTGTGGAGTGAGATGCCCATCTTTCTGGGGAGGACTGCCCATCTAGCAGCAGGTGGGAGACAGGCCCAGCATGTGTGAGTGCCCCGCTGGGTGGGGTCTCTGGCAGTGCCAGGAGAGTTGAGGCAACCTTAGGTCTCCCTGGCTTTGGGAGCTGTCAGCCCCCCAACCCATGCACTGTCAGCTAATCCCCCCAAATGGTTTTTGGGCATTTACCTATCCTGCATTTCTGGGGTGTTCATGGTGTTGTGTACTGAAGGAAGGTGGACAAGCTGGAGATGGGGAGCCATTTTTTTAAGGGACAATGGAGCTGGAAGATACATGATGACTCCATGGAAAATTGGATAACTGCCTGCAAAAGTGGGACGTTCCCTGAGTTGGGTCCTCCCAGCTTCTCTCAGTCTCACTGCCAGGCTAGCACATTTCTCCAGAAGGGTCCCAATTTTCAAATGCCCGAGGAGGCAGAGAATCCTAGCACACCACAAGTCATCTGCTTCTGCCTTCTTCCTTTTACATATAGGGAAACTGAGGCCTGAGAGAGTGAGTGACTTCTTTGAGGTCACAGAGCCGGATGATCAACACTCCTGGTGACCCATGCCTAGTTTCCAGGTGCTCTCACTCTTAGAGGAATGAGAAGATGCCAGCTAATGTCTGAGTGGCCGTTTGCACGTGGTTCTGAAGCTAGATTGCTCCTTCCCCTCCCCGTTCTCCTACACTTGGTCTGGCCTTGTCAGCCTAATGGTGCTGAGCCCACGTCATCACCTAATGTAGCCCAGAAGACACTCCTTAAAAGAGGAGGTGGGCAGAAGGCGGGATGGCAGGGAGAGCTTTCTTACTGTGTACCACGCCCAGAGACCCAGGGACGGGGATAATAGGAATCCTTCCTTGTGATCAGGAAGCAGAGGTGTGAAGACCCAGCATCAGTCTGAGAGTTGCCAGAGCAGAAAGGGGGATGGTTGGGCTGAGGCTGAATTTACTGTGCAGGAAAATCAGAGTTTGTTGATCAGAAGCTTCAACTATAAAGCCAGCCTACTACAGGGCTCGTGAAGTTGGAAGTTTTCAGACTCGTGCCCAATGGACCCAGGTCCACTCTGGGAAAAGCGTCATTCCGTACCAGCAGCAGGCCACAGATAGGGGCAGCATCACAGCTTTGTCCCCAAGGCTTCCCTAGGGGGCCAGCTGAGAGCTGAATTCACCCAGTCAGGTATGGTCAGCATCACCTGGTCCTGGTATCTGGCTCAGGGCTGCTCACGGGATCCCATCTCACCGTGAACAGTAGTGGGGCCATTGAACCTGGTGTTGTGCCCCCAAGCAGCTGATGAGGAATCCTCTTTGCTTTGTGGTTGATATTTTATTATTTCAAGCTTCAGCCTGTGACTGAGCAGAAAGAGCCTTAATGGGGAATGCTGGGGCACTGAGGGACCTTGTTCCCTGACGAGGGGGCACATTCCAGCAGCCTTCCCGGCTGTGGCTGTCTTCCCACTGAGCTATTTAAAGTGAGGCCAAGGGAGTGCCTGACGCCTGGTGCCTAATATATCCAGCGGCAGTCAGGTGACCCTGTGGCATGTGCCCCAGCCGTTACTTGCTCTAAAGCAGTGGTTCTCAACCTTCCTAATGCCTCGACCCTTTAATACAGTTCCTCATGTTGTGGTGACCCCCCAACCATAAAATTATTTTTGTTGCTACTTCATAACTGTAATTTTGCTACTGTTATGAATCGTAATGTAAATATCTGATATGCAGGATGTATTTAGGCGACCCCTGTGAAAGGGTGGTTCCACCCCCAAAGAGGTTGTGACCCACAGGTTGAGAACTGCTGCTCTCAAGGGAGCTGTAAGTGTTCCCAGCTGTGGGAGCTCTTAGCCTGGCTACCTTTCATCTGTTACCTTCCCAGGTCGGAAGGAAGAAGGCCAGGAAGCCTGGTGGGGCTGCTGATAATTCTGTGTTTGTCTAGTTTTCCTATCTCCAACTTCTTCCCAGACTATACTTCCTGCCTGGGAACCAGGGAAACCAGAGTTCCTCCTGGCCTCATGCTTCATAGTGCCTCGGTTAGGGCCTTCTTCAGAGATTCTAGGGTGGCAGCCAGAACAAGTGGTGGCTTCCCCTTGCCCTAGGAGGGACAGCAGCCCAGCTGCTACAGGGCCCTCCTGGTGCCAAGGCTGCCTGGGCAGCCCTTCTCAGAGCCTTCAAAGGGTGTGCCCTGGCCAGAGTGGCAGCCATGGAAGGGAGACACAGTGAAGGCTGGCAGAGCTGGAGGGACAGGGAAACATTCCTTTGTGTGGCATCTTCTAACACAGAGAGCCTTGTAGTGGAGAGGCACGTGTCCCATAGGCCAGAGAACACAGCTTGGTACCCGAGCTTCCCTCTTTCCCCCTTGCAGAACTGATAGTCCAACTCTGGGCTGCCCACATAGCAGTGTGTTTGAGAGTGATAAGTGCTGATGGCCAGGGCCTTAGGGGGCTTCTTGCTCTGCCTCTGTTGTTTTGTCATGGTGGGTTTGGCTATCCCTGCCCTGTGGGATATTATCTTATTTGAGAACCAGTGAGAAGGAAGCTTCACCCAGTTTTGGGAAGTTTGTGCCTGAGCAGCAGGATGGAGATACCATGTGTGTGCCAAACCTTCGGATGGCTCCCCTTTCTGCCCTGGCTCTGACCTGAAGTAGAAAGTGGAGCTTGAACCCTGGGCAATCCCTGCTCCCAGTACCCTTCCAGGACAGGAGGACTGTCCTGCTGCTGGTGCTTGTTGGAAGCAAGAGTAGCCACAGAAGCAGGTGTTCCCTGTCCTGCTCAGGGACTGTATTGGAGGCACCCTGTCTACCTGTGTCCTGTGGATGCAGTGACATGGGATCTCTGCCTGCCTGCCTGGGGCATCCTTGGGTAATGAGCCAGTGGGGTATCGAGATCATCATTGTGCCTGTCCTTGACCCAGCCTCTCCTGCTACCTTAGGTCCTTTCCCTGTGTCATGTTTCCCAATGCCACTGGAGTTGGTCACCTCAACCACCAACCTAGGCCAGGCCATAGCCTCTGCTGAGCTAAGAACCCTTGGAGGATCCTTAGTTTCCATTTTCCTAGATCATTGTTTTTCACCTTACTAGATACTAGCTTGTTTGCTTTGGGGAAAACATGTGGAGGGGTGGTGGGAACTTTAACCTTGGCTTGAGGATAGGGAGGTGGGAGGCATAGGGAGATCCCACAGGCTGCTTTTGCTGCTCCCGAAAGAACTGTCTTGGGGTCAGCTTCACAGTGGCATAGCTGAATTTCAGGGGGTGGGTTCCGTCTCCAACATCATTTTGTCCTCACCCTCTCCCTACCCAAGTCTGTCCGTGTTCCTGTCCCATGTTCTGTGCTTGTTGCCAGAGAGAGAACTGGGGGCTCACGGGAACCTAACTGGGCCCAGAGAGG